GCTCCATTTCAGAACAAAACTCCTTAAAATAATTTTTTATGTTCAGCAACTCAAAATCTTCTCCAATTCTCTCTTAGAACCACTCCAAAATATAAGACCACCTCACCAAAAAAAAAAAAAAAATCATTTGAAGAGTGATTACTGTGTCTGATGCATTGATACATTTTCTTACATAACTTCCTGGCCAACAACAATGGCAAAACAAGTTCAGCTCCTATTATGGTTTTGATCTTAAATGTCCCTCAAAGGCCCCTGTGCTAAAGACTTGGTCAGCAGGCTGTGGTGCTATTGGCAGGTGATAGAAACTTTAGGAGATGGGGTTTATTGGAAGGAGAGGCATAATCTTGAAGGAAATATTGGAATCCTGGCCCCTTTCTCTCTATTTGTTACCTAGCCACACAACTTCCACCATGAAGTATTGCTTTAGCATGGCCCAAAAGTAATGGAGCCAAGGAACCACTGACTGAAACCATGAGCCAAAATAAACCTTTCCTGCTTATAAGTTGCTTATTTGGGGTACTTATTATAGCAACAGAAAGTTTATTAACATACTGCCCATCTGACATGTAAATTATATTTCAGTCTCTATTGCCTTCTCATCTCTTCTTTCCAACTAGTTAATATTGGAAGATTCCCATCAACAGGTCCTTGGCAAAATTTTGGTTCCCTATTTTCATTGGCTTCTTTTTATTCTCACTCAAGTTCATAATTTTAAAATCTTCTCTACCACAGTGACTCACAAATTTATATCTGTACCTACACACCTATTTCCTAAATTTGGTTCAGGAAGAAAGTTCAGGAGACTGCCTTATACAGATGTTCAGGCATCTTAGCTGAACAGTAAAAAAAAAAAAAAACAAAAAATGAAACACTGGGTTAACTAAGTCTGCAGGTTTCAGAAATAAAAATTAATTCTGTATTCATTTCAGAAAAACTCTGCAAATAATTGTCAAAGTGTCGGAAGAATGCAAAACTGTACACTATAGAGTATTAGGAGCAAATCAATTTGTGGATTTTTTGGGTCCCTTGTTTCTCTTTTTCATGTTTACTGCCTAATATTTGACCATTTTACTGTTTGTTAGCAAGTCTCACAAGAGTGAAACCTGTGCTCAAAGGACTTTGAGCACATGATAAAAGCAAGAGCACACAAGGAAGGGGTGAGGATAGGTAAGACACCTAAAAAACTAGCTAGCATTTGTTGCCCTTAACGCAGAGAAACTAAAGCAGATACCTTAAAAGCAACTGAGGCCAATAGGAAAAGGGGAACAGGTACTAGAGAAAAGATTAGATCAAAAAGAATTAACCTAGAAGGTAACACCCACGCATAGGAAATCAATGTGAGTCAATGCCCTGTATAGCTATCCTTATCTCAACCAGCAAAAACCCTTGTTCCTTCCTGTTATTGCTTATACTCTCTCAACAAAATTAGAAATAAGGGCAAAATAGTTTCTGCTGGGTATTGTGGGGGGAGAGGAAGGGGGTGGAGTGAGTGGTAAGGGATGGGGTGGGGGCAGGGGGGAGAAATGAACCAAGCCTTGTATGCACATATGAATAATAAAAGAAAAAGGAAAAAAAAAGAAAGTGAAACCTGGACAAACAAAAGGAAACTAGCAAGTTGAAACTGCTCCTTAATAGCAGCCAGGAGGAATACACATGTGGTTTTAATCTAGACAGTGAGAAACATTTGTACTATTGAAAGTATTCACTAAAATGGGTTCTGAGCATGTTTTTGGAAGTAAGGTGCCAATATTGGCTTAACCCAATTCAAATAAGCTGAGCTTTGAATCTTTCTAAAATTTTGTCAACTGATAGAACAAAAAGAACTCAGAATATATCTGAATATGAAGGGGGGAAGAGAGGGAAGGAGAGAGGAGGAGACAAGAGAAGAGTAGAGAGGGAAAGAGAGAGGGAGGGAAAAAGAGATAGAAGGAGGGAGGGAGGGAGGAAGGAAGAGATGATGGAGGAAGAGGAGAGATCCCTGAGTTTGCTATAATATAATCTATAGGAGGTAATTTAGCATTATGGAAATCTGTCTAATATAGACAGGAACTAAGGCCATAGCTGACACTAGGGTAAAATAAGTTCTTAGAACCAACTTGCTTTTTTGTAAAATATATAGTAATATACTTTTCTCATAAGGTTGTTGTGATAATTAGATGGATAAGTCATGCAAAACACTAATATATAAAGCAAATTCCAGTTTCCATCTCAGTATCTGCTCTTTTGTCTAAGAATTAATAGCCATCTCGCTTTAAGCATTCATTCTTCTTTTCATCTTTGCAAAAATAAAACTGAAGAACTATCCAGAAGGTAACTAATGTATGGCTAAAACTATCATGGGAAATATAAAAAGACAGATTAAAATGTGCAACTGGGACCTTGCTTAAAATGAGAGGCAGTCTATTGATAAAAAATTTGCATCTCTTTTTCAAATGCACAGGAAAATATTATGAAAGCTCTATTTAAAAATTATAACATGGCATCTCTTGGAGGAAGGAGAATGTTTTCTTTCATACAGACTGGAATGCAAAAAATGTGTTGTTCTTTGAAAAGTTACTTGAATGTAAGTTTGATGGGAAGAGGATTCTTTGTCTGCCTCATTCATTGCCTACTCCCTTGAATTCTACATGGCTTATAATTGGCAATTAGGAAATAGTTCTGAATGAGTACAGTGTGCACAGACTATGGTGTACTTGGCACAGGAACAGGGGTCCATCTGCTTCTGCAAATGACTATACACACTCTAATAAAAGGTAAATAATGACAAGCCAGAATTTTAACATGTAGACAAAGGACAACACAACTGTTCTTATAGTTTCTGAACCACTATTTATAAACCTTTGGAATTCTGCTGAGGAACTGATAGTCCATATGCAGCATATATTAGTATATGCATAAGTAAATATGAAATAACAAATACTTTCTTGAACCAGGATGATAATGATTTTTTGAAGTGGCCAAAATATACCCTTCATGGTAGAGAAGGGAAAAAAGTAAAAGATTAAAAGATTTGGGGAAATTTTCTACTACTCTCCTTAACAGCCAAGTTCTAAACTTTAGTCTTTATTTGAAAATAATACTTGTATAGAAAATTACACTTATTAAATATAATTGAATTATGAATGTAATTAAAATATTTGTTCTTAAGACTTTAGGATAGTACAAGAACACCTAACAAGTGAACATTAGTTAATAGGATATGTTAAATTCCCAAGCAAAATAAATTTTAAAAATACTTAACTAGTAATACATAAAAAGCACAATTGTGCTGTAAAGAATCAAGTAGGCATCTATACATGTTGTCCCAGTCTAATTATAAGTTAATTCAGAGTTTGCCAAGGTAAACAGCACAGCCTAGACATTTCTTTTCCAGTTCTCTTATAAAGCAAATGAAGCTACAATCCAAAGAGTAATGAAAAATAAATTTCTAATAAATCTTTTTCTTTCTCAAAATTGTATGAGAAAAAAAGGTCACTTTCTTACTATCTTACCTTTTGGTGCCCTTATCTTTTTCTTTATCATACACATTTTTATGTATTATGCTGGATTTATGCATTCTTCAATAGCATCTTTATTTATGACTTTGTGAATCAACAGCTTTGTGATAGGAGGCAAAGTCACTTAGCTAATTACACATGCTTGATAAGCTGCATAATAATAACCACTGCAGTATTGTACATTAGGTGAAGGCATGTAAATTACTGCAGTTCTTCTCATTTAGGGAAAAACAAGAGACTATCTTTTAGTTATTTAAAATACCCTTTTCACCTCCATATCCATCTTCTTAAGTATATTGTGCATTTAACTCAAACTGTGGCATTACGTTTTTTAAAACTGAAAGTTGAATTCCATTCTACCAGTATTACAAAGACATGAACAAAATCAAAAGAAAAGAGAACTTAATGCAAATACTTTTGATCCACAGTAGAGAATTTTGCTATATGAAGTTTCTTCTATATAATGCAATCCCATAAAACAAAACAGTTTAGACACCTACTGCCCCACAAGGATACTGTGATGAAATCTAACTTGGTCCAGCCAGGACATTAGAAGTATATATAGAGATAGAATGTGCAGCACTAGAATATTAATATGACTTCTGTAAGAAGATAGAAAATTCTACAAAGTTATGAATAAGGTCAAAATAACACTTAGATGATTTATGGCTGTAGAAAATCATACTCTCCTATGAGTGATTTACTGACTGTCATGTAAAGATGGAGTATGGACAAGCTACATTCAGACACCAGTGTCTACATTTGCTCAATCTGGCTAGAGGATGATTTGAAGGTTGATTTAACTGTAGCTTCTGAATCATGTTTGTCCCTCTGTTTTAAATTGTTTAACATACATATAAAATGTTTAAGCAATTTTGAGACTGAATATTAGCATAAAACATTAAAAAACTCACTCTATACTGAAAGAGTAGCTAAATAATAAACATTTTCTAAAAAAAACTTATGGAACTGGAAAAAAATACCATTATCTAATAATCTCAATTGCCTAATACCAATGGCAAATTTACCCTTATGATAAGAAAGTTCATAAGGTGTTCAAAAGGAGCCAAGATTAAACAAACAATAAACGAAGTTTGTGACTGAACTGATCAATTTGAAGACAAACACAAGTCTGTATTTGTACAGAAAGAGTTCAGAGATCAAAACTGACCAGCTGGTAAGGCAATATTGTTTGGGATCCACGCAGGCAACCTAATAGCCTAAGTGTTTTTTTCTCTATAAGCAGACCTAAAGCAGAGATTCAAGTCCTGCTGATTGTGCCAGCACCAGAACACAAGGCACTACCAATAAGCTTCACCAATGTTACCTACTCAGCTAGAGCATTTCTTACCTATCTTTCTGTTCCTTGACAAATGTCATCAAATTTACAAATGTCACCTAACCATTCACTCCCCAGCATCAGCAAATCATCCTGAGGGAGAGTATCTTGTTCTTCCTTTGTGAGCTTTTAACCCATTTTTTTATTTTCACTTTTATACATACCTCCTTTTCTACATATTTTCTTGCCGGGTTTTCTGGCACATTCCTTGGATATTCTTTTTACTGAAAAATGAATAGAAGACTAGAAAATAACATGGCGCTCCGTCACAGACCGCTGGCACATGCAACAGCACTATCTAACTCAAACACACTCCTGCATTTACTGAGCACAAAAGACCCCCAATTTGTTGAGCCTGCCACATGCAATGAGGAAATGTTGATGCATCTTCTCAGAAGTCATTTGGTAGGAAATGGAAATTAGGAGTCCATTTCTACCTATATATACGTGCTGTGGAAGAAAGAAAATAAGTAGGCACAGGAAAAAATAAGAACAGATACACTGACACACATAAACAAAAAGAGCAACATGCAAGCATGTAAAATATGTCTACATGCCAACAGGAAAAGCCATGCTTACTACCAGTACACATGGATTAATACTGTTAGAATTTAGAATAGAAAAAATAAATATATCTCCCTGTTTTTCCTGCAATAAACTCACCATCCTCAGTTGGGACATATATGTTTAAATATAGGCAGTCTTCACTCTGGTCTTGTACATATGATGAAACCACATCCAAGTTATTAGTAAACCACACAGGAAGCATGACTTCTGGCAATCTGCCATCAATGATATTCTGGGGACATACAGGAGCAAATTGAGTGGCATTCCTGATATCTGACCAGGGAGATGGTGGTTCTGGAGGCTGAAAACGATGTTCTCCAGTTGGTGGGGCTGCATATGGAACCCCAAGAAACTGAATAACAGGCCCCAAAATTTCATTATTGAGTTCTTTCTTAATTCCTCTGATCTTGCCGAAGTTGGTAGTCACCAGTGGGTCCAGGTCATCCAATTTTTGTGAGAGCACATGAGCAGTCTGAAGCAAACATCCCAACAGACAGAGAGTCAATGAGGCACCCAATCCCCTGTGTACCAAGCATGCCATCATGGCTCTCCAAACATAATTTGACCACATGCATCTGGGCAGTGCCATGATCCCACATTAGTTGTCTAGTTGTCCGGTTACAATGAGGCAAATGTGTTTATATCCACTTGAGAAAGGCTATATAATGGTGAATTAGGCCTCCGATTTCTCGAAGGTGAGCTTGTCAAGAAAAGCTCAGAGCATTCTTCGTGCAGCAAGTATCTCCCATTGATTTCACACGTAGTGAAGCAGCATCTTCAATCATCACTATTTATCAGACCATATCTTATTGACCATTCTGTTTTCCATAGTAGCACTGTGGTGAGAGTGGCCATTGACTGTAGATTTCCCTCTTATAAATCAAATCCAGTTAGCTGTGGGTCTATATCCTAGAGAAAATGAAAATAAATCATTAATATGAACAAGCTAAAATAGACAGAGTGATAACTAGATGTTTTACAAGATACAAAAATATATTAATAGAGGCTAGAGCCAAGTATTTTGAATACTACCATGGGAAAATTATGGTTTGATGTGAGATGACAGGTGAAATAACTGATTATTAGATTATTAAAAAACTTTCCTGCTGTCTTTACATATACTTAAGTAGAAGCAGGCCTTGTCAAAACGTACAGTTTCAGGAGCATTTCACAGTTAAGTATTTTTTTAAATACTGAAGGTTATGTGTGGAATTTCTCCTTTATTGATGGTTCAGTCTCTTCAAGGAACTGCAGAATTAATCAACACTCATATTCAGAACTAGAATCCAATAATAGAAAATCTTTTCTTAAAAATAGTAGTGCATAACTGGAATATCAGCTCTGTAAGAATGATTATATATATTGAAAAACAAATTTTAAAAAGGTGGTTCCCAACCCCTGGCATATAAGAAAAGCAAAGGTAATAGCAGAGCAAGAAAACTAAAGTGAGTTATGATTTAAATAATCAGTTATGATTATTTAAATACAACTTCCTCATAAGGTCAAGTTCCTTGCTGTCTCTCAAAAGTTTGTAGGAAACATTGACCCTATATGCACTACCTTAAATTTATGCTGAAGAATTTAAGAGAAAGTGGCTCTAGGCACAGTATGAAAAAGAGAAAGAAATTGCCATCATTTTTGGCAGAAGGATGTTAGTTTATCATATAGTTATATATTTTAGTTTGCAATAAATTTGCAATGTGTAAATGAATTTCTGAGACAAACTCAATGTATTTTAAATTACAAAATTTTTTCTCACTGTCTGCTAAAGATCAAAGGAAGAATACAAAACAGTGTGATAATTTAAAAGATCATACCTAATCATGCCATCTCGCATATTAACACTAATCAAACATCTAATACTAGTTACCCAGTTCTACTTAAAATGCATCAGAATGAGCTGTAGCATTCAGTGCAGTGCAATTCACAAGGCATTCTTATACTAACTGACAAATAGTGTGCCGCTCAGAAAATTTGTCTTTTCTTGTCCAAGCAACCCTTTAAAGTGCTTACTTTGAAAATAATAGTGTTGATTTGTGTTAGAGATGGTTCTGTCCTGTCATATTATAGGAAGATTCGTGAAGAAGTGCTGGTTTGGCAGTGAGACTGCCCTGACTTTGTGTTATTTAAAAGGAGATTGTAAAAACTATATAGGGCAGCAGGAGATTTGGTTCTGGCTGGTGTTCCTTTAGCTCTGAACAATCCATCCCAGAAGGAAATAAGGAGATAAATGTCTTGCTTCAAGAGCACTTTCAGTCTGTGTTAATTCTTATGCTTGTGCTCCGAAAGCACATTAACATACAAAAGACAAGCTAAGGTCTCTCCTCCTCAAATCAGGAAGCCCAGAATGACAGAAGGCTCAGCTACAAAAACCTACTCTGTATAGCATGCCTATTCTTCTGCACAATCCTGGCGACCCAAAGCAGGATTGAGTCTTTTCTGTTTACCTTTTGATGTTTAAAAAGCACCATTTTGACGACTAAAATAGGGTAACTGGAGTGAGGCCTGGAAAGCGTCCATCACAATTTTTTATTCAGTCTAATTTTCAAGTACAGTGATTTCCAAAAGTTCTTCACACAATTGATATCTCATTAATAATAAGTAACACTTGTTTGATCATCAAAAAAGTAACACTTCTGTATGTGCTCACACAAAGAGACTTTTTTGTTTCTCACTAATGTTCTATTCTTAACCCAAATTGGAGAGGATTAGAATACTGTCTGACCTGGTCAATTTTCAAGTTTTAATGTGTGTAGCTCATGAAGTTACCAAAATACCTTATCTAACATGGATGTACATATGGAGAACTATAGTATTAACCAAAAAATATTATCTAGAAGTCATTATTATAATAATAACAACCATGCAAGTCTAATGCAAAAATACATCTCACTTAAATTATTGAAAATTTTAAAGGAGTCTAAAGACTCACATTTGCTGACAGGCCACCCTCTTCACCCATCTAGTGATGCTTCCTAAGTCTATGTCAAATACTTAGCTTAATACACTTACATTTCATTGACATCTAAAAAATGATTCCACAGTTGTCCCCTGTTCACTCATGAGAAGTTGATATTCAGAGGTAAGATATTCAGGCCAATGCCTCTCAGCCAATCGACAGCAGGCTCAGAAGCCCACTGTCATTGAATTTAAAGACCATCTACCTGGCCATTTCATGTCCCTAAGTTCAGTTATCCCTTTGATAAAATAATTGATCCTAATGTATTTAAAATTGAATTAAAAATTGTTTTAGACATTTTGTGTACCTTTACAATATAGAGTCTAGTAAGTACTCTGATAATTTTATAAAAACAGAATTTTAAATGACCTACCCTATTATTCTTGGAGGTCTAGATTTCATTTTGCTATATTTTTTACCCTTTTTACTCTACACTGAATGTAGTGATATCTACATTTACATAAGATCATGTTAAAACAATGATTTGTATAATGACAGAGTTACATACTAGTAAACCTACAAAAAGGTCTCTCAAATTTATTCAGCCTGAATGCTCATTAATATGTACTGATAAATGAAACATGAAATATTCAGAAATTAAAATTTTATATGAAATTGAAAATAAAGGATATATAATTAAAATATCAACAGAGACAAATCTTACAATATTTGAACAAAATAATTTGCCAAAGATTGGTAAAATATTATTTAAATTAAGGCTAAAGTACACAAAATAAAACTACTTATCATTCCCAAGGTACATAAATATGTAGTAACAGGAGAGTTTTCAACTGTGAGTAATGGGGGAAAAGAATGAAATTAATTCTAGCAATTAATTAATTGGAACCTAAGATGGAGAACCTGTGGTGAAGCTTTCCAAGGCCCTCAATTATTACAGCAAGTTTGACAAATTCTTAGTATTTGATAATGTTAGGTGATGCACACACATACATATGTACATACATACATCTTTATTATGAATTCTCTGTATATTTTAAATATTCTGAAATACATACATTAAAGCAATGCAGTCAGAGAACTCCTCAGCACCAGAGCAGGCAAGCCACAGATTCCCAACAGATAGTTTAACAGCCCACACATCTCCCCTCTGACCTCCCAGTGGAACCACTAATTCATAAATTCTTCTACTATCCATCTCCATGAGGCAAAGTGTGTATGTTCCCATTAAAACAATAAAACAAATAATAAATAATATATAAAGGAGCATCACAAATGGTAATATACTATCTGACTTGTAATTAAGTCATTAAAATAACTGGTCCCTCCACAAGTTTGTTCCTTGGTGACTCAGATTTAAAAACAAAATAGATCTGTTTGGGACATTAGGTATTTCTAGAGTTAACCATATTCATCCAATCTTCACTTACTCAATAAATATTTACTGGGAATTTACCATGTAATCTAATGCGTTAAATGTTATAAAATATTTGAAGATAAACACAATCTACTCATTCTCAAGCAGTATGAAATCTTATAAGAGGATAAGTTACATAAAAATGGCTTTAATGCAGGATTGAATGTGACATGTGTTCAATAAATACATGATGAATGGGAGTGACACAATAGGAAGTATCTAACTTCTAATTTAACAGAGACTTTATAGGTCTTTAAAAAATATATCTAGTTATTCTCTATCTCGCTTTGTTTTAGTGTTTGTTTTATTATTGAACCTAATTCTCCCTTACTGAATTTCCAAGGACTTTGCACAGGTATGTTTAATATATTTATATCAATCATAAAATCTATATAGAAATCCTTTACATACTGCAAGCTTGGGAAAATCTCAGTTATCTGGATTGACTGCAGGCTTACTTCCAGAGACAACTGGAGCTTAATGGTGATTCTTAGTCAATGCTATTTATTGTGTAGTTGATCCTTGTTATTCACAGTAGATATGTATGTACAGAGTCATCATTAAACTGACTTAGGGAACACAGATCCACTCCTCTAAGGAAAAACATGCGTGTGTGGGCGTGTATGTGTGTGTGTGTGAGTATATATACTCACATGTATATATAGTAGATAGCTCACATAGATTTTAGAATATAAAATTAAACCTTTAAAACAACACATCCTACTTAATTCTATTTTCTTTATTTTACAAAAGAAAGAAACATGGCTCAGAAGTGTTAGGTGGACAAGTGCCAGTGGCTCACCCCAGTAATCTTAGCTACCTTGGAGGCAGAGATCAGGAGGATGGCACCAACTAGGCAAAAATCAAGACCCTATCTCAAAAACTACTCAACACAATAAAAGAAAAGGGTTGACAGAGTACTTCAAGTGGTAAAGCATTTGGCTAGCAAGCATGAGGCCCTGAGTTCAAACCCCAATACTGACCCCCCAAAAAACCCAGAAATGTTAAGTGCCTGAACACCACTCCACTAACAGGTGCCAGAGTTGGCATTCAAGCCTCCCTCTAACTATTCCTAGAGCAGAGTTCTTCTCCCTGCACTGTGCTACCTTTACCACCTCCTTCCTTGTCCTTAGGGTTGACACAAGAATGCAGAGCATAGCCTTGCTTAACCTTAGCTAGAAATGTGCTCTTTGGGAAACTAAGTGCTTGCTGCTTTGCTCATTTCTGTGGAATGACTGAGAAAACTGTGAGTTTTGATTTTAGTTCTAGAAACAAATTTTATCAAATAGGAAAATTTTCAAATATAGACAGGGGGAATAATGAGGATCAATTGTTATAATGAAAGATGAATAATTATTTTACCTGTGAAGTGTGTGCATTGTTAGATATTAGACCACACTGGCTTGTCAACAGTGCTTAGTAACAATAATTAGGTTTGGTAACAATAATTTAACAAATAATCTAATTCAATAATAACTGTTTCAGAGGGGTGTGGTGGTTTTCCATAGCCAAGTCTGTCCATGTAGCTAGAATATGCCTATTTGACCAGCTGTCCATGGGACAAGCCGAGAGGTA